ATATGAGGATTTTATTTTGTCATATCTATTTAGAAACAGGATGAATTTCGTTTATTCGGCATTAAATTACATCGCTATATATATATATATATATATATATATATATATATATATATGCATGCGGTTGGGAATACACCAAAAACAAATTATAATTTTTTGTCTTGTCATTCAGATTACAACGTACAGACTTCTATGATTCTTCAACTGTGACGTGTAACATATGGACCGCCAAAAGATGGCGCCTAATTGCATCTTGCACATTAAAGGAAGCAAAACACGAAGCTGAAGTGAGTATGAGCGGAATCATCAGAGGAGAAAACGTAAGTTTTAAGTTGCTTCAAAGATGTAAAAATAGCTAAATGATTAGTAGGAAAAACTCCAAAGAACAAGTAATTTTATAAGAAGCAAATGATTAAGCGCTGAGACGGGGCGGGGAAGCGTAAATACCTGTACAGAATAAATATGGCAATACCCAGGACCTTTGCTTCGTTGTTCAAGAAATGAAATTAAACTCTTGGTCTTAATAAATTTCTATGTAGAAATTTACACCATGTTGGGCATTGATAAATCGTACGTGAATGTTCTTTATCTTTCACCCTAAGTAAGGTTATAATGACACTAAGACTCAAGGTTTTGTGGGTGGGGGTGTTGAAAGAAATTGGTAGGAGGTCAGGAGAAAGAATCGCTAACAAAATCCTAAAAAAAATGAAAAATGGATAAACCTGTACTCAATTCCCAAAACGGAGAGGTATTGTGGACAATACGATATAGAGAAAAAAAAATCACGCTATGATTTTCTTAGATCAGCTGCCTGAAGATATGTCAGTTGAATAAGTTTGAACAATGAGGGCTTAATCATGACTGACTTTAATTTAAATATAACTAAGTACTAGACAAATATTGAAGAAGAACATTTTAAAACAAATAAATAAGAACAAAGAGAACACAGGCATTTAAAATGAAAAGATAAGGCATATTGTATTTACTAATAAAATACTCCAAAGCCACTCTAGGTAGGTTCTTTTTAAAAATCTGTCAGAGTGGAATTTCCATCTTAAAACTGGAATACGTAGGGGGAGAGTATTTTACTCATATAATGTCTTGTCTTATCCGTAACTCTCTGAACTGGTGGAACAAAATAATGGATCACGTCTGAACGTATTTAAAAATTGAATGTGAGGGTTTTGAGAGATCTGAGTAAGGCTGCCCGCCTGTTTTGAGATCTCGGGTTCTTTAACGTAGATGAAGACGCGATCCAGGAGACATACTTCGTTTGCAAGTCGATGTGTGCTGTCTACTGACTTTGATGTCTATTCAGCATACATGGATCGGCAGGCAGGAGGTGTTTTCTAGTTAGTCAATTTTTTTCTGGGTGCGAGGGTAGATCTTGTCCATGTAGGCTCGGGGAGCGGCTGATCGTGGCCGGTATTGCGAGGAGTGGTACGTTTCAGGTCGTTGCGGTTTATTCCCAACGATCAGTTGGGGCCGTTCCTAGTAGATTCGTCGCTCTTAGTCTTAATGGGGAACTGAGGCGAGCCTGGTTCGCGTGGACGGGGCTAGCTTTGTTTATCTCTTTAACACTATTTTCTTTTCCTAGGTCACGCGAATAATTGTTCGCTGCATTTTCTTCCGTTATGATCCATGTCGAGATTCCAAATCTCGACAGCTTGTTTTTGACCCCTATTTTTAAATCTGCTGGGTCAGACTTTGATTTTTCCCATTCCGTCAATTATTTTTCCATCACAATCCCATTAGAGAGTGTGCTTCTTGTTTCTGTCTATCGACAGAATACAGCAGCCACTTTTATTATCTTGAGGGTGGGTGGATTCGAATAACATTTGTTTTCTTTTAATTTTATTTGTGTTACATTTTTTAGTTTTTTATGGGTTCATCTACCCGCACCATCATTCCACGTATCATGAAATTTTTATATATAAGTCATTACCAATTTTAAAATTTTCATGTTATGGATTTTTGTAGGCCCCTTGCAAATAGGCAGTATTTTGGTATATGTAGGATTTAGAGGTGATGGATAAATTATTGTGGTTATTGCGTAAATTGTAGTGAATGATAAGTCATGATTCGGATTAACTAGGATTAAGATAACTAATTAAGACCAGCCCCCACCCACTTTGGCCATGTACAAAAATGTCTGTATATTCAGGAATAAATATCGTTGGAGATTCATTTTGGAATTAACTTCACTCATTTCTAGCAGTTGACGAATCTTATATGTGTTGTTCATGTGCTAAATATTATCGTTCATTACCAACCTTCGTGTGATTATTCTTCGCTAGATTACAACACTTACTGAACTATTCATTTTGGAATTAACTTGACTCACTTCTAGCAGTTGACGAATCTTATATGTGTTGTTCTTGTCCTAAGTATTATCGTTCATTACCAACCTTCGTGTGATTATTCTTCGCTAGGTTAAAATGCATATTGAACTATTGAATAGAGCCGTCCACATATACTTCATTTTCCGTCTGAAATGACTCATCTAGAAACAGAGCATAGCAAAGATAGCCAGGTTCATGTTGAAGTGTCATAAGGAACTGACAATTTCTTTAGCATCTTTGGCGATGGATCATATATCTGAAGTCAATATGGAATATCGCTTAACCTTGTGACTTAATAGACGTTCAATATATGAGTTTTTATTGGGAGAACAGCCGTTCATCCTGACAGGCAAAAGCTCAAGGTTTGATCTGTGATGATGAAATGCTACTTGCTTGGTTTTAAAAATGTAAAGCAGTAATAAGAGTGACAAGCCATGTTTTCTTTATATTAAATTATTAGAGCTAGGTACCAGGAGATATCATCTTTCAGAAACTGGACAGGTACTTGATTTTGCTGGCACTTTCATTAATTGTGGTATCATCTCCATAGATGTTTACTAATAATCTTGTGTCCTGGATAATATATCCGGTGGCATTACCTCTTATCGGCTAATTTTGAGTAGCGTTCCTCGCTGTTGTTCCCAGGTCAAACTTGACTCGGCGGGTAGCATCTGTTAGGGTCCCAATTATAAGCAAATAGTTAACCGACCAAACTGTCGTCAAAACACTATGAAAATTTAAAAATACATTTTGATAGTAAAAATACGAGCAATATATTTTCATAGTAAATAAATTTAACAGTAATACATTTGGGTAAGAACTAAAAAAAATTTAAAACAAATTACCGGCAATACATTTTTGTAAAAAAGAAATTACTAATGCTTCCAAGAAAATTAAATTTTGGCATTAAGTGACCCATAAGGAGTTGATATGCCAATAAACAAACAAACCAACAAACTAATAACCTTAGAGAGTTTATAGGCAGGTTGGTAAGAAAATGCATAATACGTCTATGTTCAAGGGGTAACCATTTAAGGTGACGTGCATTAGTGTAATGAGATTAAGAAGATTGTCATTCACAATAACCTTTAAGAAGATGTCTGAGTTAAAGGAATTGATAATAGTGTAGGGCCTCCGGGGGGCATCATAGCTGATGTGCATATGTAGCAATTCATTAGTGCACACCTTGTCAAAAGACTTTGGAATATGGAAGGCAATCACGATATCAGAGAAAGAATTGAGATCAACCAGACAACAGTACTGCTTTAATACCGAGGAGAGTCCTGGAGATTTGGAAAAAAAATATTTTTGGATACATCATTACCGGACATCAGGGTTTATTTCCGTTTTTTTTTATGTCTCGTCTTTTCTTGTCACCCTGTTAAAGAGAAAGAAAAATTTAACGATGACTGACCGTGTGACAGTGAAGAGGGAAGTTTGTATTCATAACACCTATCTCAAGAGACTCGATGTGAAACGAAATTTATAGGCTGCAAACGGGTCGATATATTTCGTTGGCACCGATAAAGCTTGTTCTTTACGGTAGACGAGTCAGCTTCAATGTAGTTAGATAAGCATTGGGGAAAATACGAATATATTTAAAAGTGAATTGCTTCAGCTATGTAAAAACGACGGTTTCTACGTGAGCCCTATACCAACAGGAAACACATTTCGTTTCCATTCTAAATTAGATGTGGAACTGAAAACCTCTCAGCAAAATCGTATACGCATAGATGTTTATTATTCGATGATCAAGTAAAGTAATTCTTATTTTAATTTAATTTTAAAATAGAATTCAAAGTTACCTATTCTTATCTTTCTAGTTTTGTCGCCCATACAATTTCCAAGCTATATAAATCTAGTCTGGTTTTAGAATTTGTCAAAATGAAAAATATCAGACCTCTCTTTAAAAATATCTGATGATTTAAACTGAGTTTTCAGTTTTGTGACTAGGATGATCTAATCATTCTTTCCAATTGAGTGTTTAACCTATATACCATAAAGTTTATAGAATTTTAGAGGGATATGTTTGAAGATAGCTTTGAAAAGAAAATATTATTTTGGACAAAAATTAAATGGTATATTTGTTTTTGGAATGTAAAAAATTCATAAAAATCAGATGGCTAGCGAATGTTTCTGGAAAGCTATTCTTAATGAAAGGAGAGGAAGCAGAAATAATAACAATAATAGAGATATATTGTAAAACTATGTCTGTGACAGCCACAAGAATGACAGGAATGCGGCTGTTGTGAGTGAGGATGGGCCAAGTTGGTTACCCCATTACAGCTGAAAAATATTCACTAATGAAAAACGCTGCGAAATTTTGCAAGTTGTGTCAGATCGTATGTGCAGTTTAGTGTAGTCATTAGACTACTCAAAGGACTGTGTCAATAATGTTCCCACTAAGTAAGTAAAAAACTATGTTTACGAAGAAGGTCCGCCTTCAAAATGTGGAATACAACAATTGAGAAAGAAGCAGTCTATGTTGATAACGAGATGTAGGATCCTGAGAATGTTGCATTCATTTTAGTCTATTCTGTGAATTTGGCTGCTTAATCTCTTATAGTTAAGTAGAAACAGAATTTTATTTTTGACCGACGCTCGTAGCACAATTATGAGGGAAGTGATTATGTTGAGGATTAAGTGTAGAATCATGAGACCTTTGGGTACCCTATTTCATACTTTCTAGGTCATTATTATTTAACCTGTTACAATTAAAATCCCTTTTTCATACTTTCTAGGTTATTAATATTCAACCTGTTACAATTAAAATCCCTTTTTAATACTTTCTAGGTTATTATTATTCAACCTGTTACAATTAAAATCCCTTTTTCATACTTTCTAGGTTATTATTATTCAACCTGTTACAATTAAAATCCCTTTTTCATACTTTCTAGGTCATTATTATTCAACCTGTTACAATTAAAATCCCTTTTTCATACTTTCTAGGTTATTATTATTCAACCTGTTACAATTAAAATCTCTTTTTCATACTTTCTAGGTCATTATTATTCAACCTGTTACAATTAAAATCCCTTTTTCATACTTTCTAGGTCATTATTATTCAACCTGTTACAATTAAAATCCCTTTTTCATACTTTCTAGGTTATTATTATTCAACCTGTTACAATTAAAATATAATGTTGATTCCTTTCAGATTAAATTTGTAGCACGCTTGAGTGAAAAAAAAAGATTATTTTGAAACCTATATTTAAACTGATTATATTACTTTTGGCAAGCTTTGTGATCTTCAGCGATTAAGTCTGTGATAATAATAATAATAATAATAATAATAATAATAATAATAAATTGTTATTAAAGACCACAAAAAAGTGTCTCCTTATTGATATGGCAGTCCCTACTGACTGCAGCGTATCTTTGAAGATATTCAAAAAGTTGTCAAAATACAAAGACCTTGAAATAGAAATCTCAAAAATGTGGCATATGGGAACATCAACAATCCCTGTTGTAGTTGGAGCCCTAGGACTGGTTGGAAAAGATTGCAGTAGACTAATTGAAGGGATTCCTGGAAGTCCATGCCTCAAGGAGATACAAAAAATTGTTCTGACAAGTACAGCCCACACTTTACGAAGGGTTTTATCTATGTATATATATATATATATATATATATATATATTTTTTTTTTTGGTCAGTTGAAAGTGTCATGACGCCATTTCTAACCTTAGGTCCCTGGGCGGGACCCGGAAAGAAATGTGTAAACGCCAGAAATCAAAGAAAATAAAAATAATAATAACGAATATTTGTCATATAAGAAAACGTCTGACTTGCCACCGTATGCACCATTCAAACGTTGATGTGTATCGTCTTTTTGTGCCAAGATCCGAATGAGGCAGAGGATTAGTTCAACTAGAACAGTCTTACAATACCGCAACAATGTGTCTTCAAAGATAACTAGAAATTACAGATGACTAGAAGATGAGCGTTCTTAACCCTAGAACACTAACCATCAATTAAAGTTACACCACTACTAACCATGGGTATATCATACCTGATTTTGAAAATATCAAAAAAATATATTAAATATATATCTTTATTTGAAATATTTTGAATGCAGGCACTTCAAACTTTGTACTTTGAGTTAACATTAATCGGAAATGAAAAACATTATTTAGGTAAGAAAATCAGGTACTGAAAATTGTAATTAAAAATAGAAAAAAATTGCGCTGGTTACTATATACCCATGGTTAGTGTTCTACGGTTAAAGAACGTGAAATAAATAAGAAACATTATAAGTAATAAAGGACGCCAACAGACGCAGATATATAACGGATTAATGTTAAACATATGAACGCGGTTTTGTTTTTTTCTTGTTGTTTTTAATTACACTCCATGCTTATTTAAATTTAGAATTTATTTATTTCAATATAATTTTTATAGATATAGTCATTTATTTTCCGATTTGTCCTATCCCAGATTGTTTCAACACCGGTGTAGTAAGAACATATTATACAGAAGAATCCCAGTCGTAGATTAACCGAGGTAATACCTCTATCTATTAAGCATTATACCAAGACAACAGTGGTAGAAAACTTATGCTCGCTATACGAATACTGGTTTGCATAACTAGTGAGCTAATTATAGCTATACGATAAGCTATTAAAGTTACATTTGTGTACATAAAAATTAATATTTTGGCAAAAGTTAAACGCTTTGACTAAACCATACACATATGCATGTGTGTGTGTTTGTGTGCGTGTTTGCATGTCTGTCTGTGTGTTTATGGATTTTTCTGTGCCACTGAGTTCATATGCTTATGCATGTGTGTGCAATGGTCCGTAAACCAACGAGGAAATATTCATCGATTGGCAAATGTATATTTTGATAGACATAAATACATACAGTTGTCAAATCTAAGATATCTTCGAGACACATTTCCCTATTCATATATAAATGTAGACCTCCACACAAAAGTACATATGCATACACGTGTATACACAGGTGCACACAGACATACACATAGACATATATTATGTTTCTCTTAGAAAATTTTCAAATGACAGTTATGACAGCTGAAGATAATGTGATTCCCCATTCTTTAGTATAGCTGTCCAAACAGACATAAAATCAGAACTATCTCGAACTGCAAGATAATTATTCAAAGCGTACCAATCCCGGTGGGCGACGCATTAACAGTCATACTGGCGAGATTGGGATATCCACATGAAACAGATTTGATTATTGCGCAACGTGGACTCCATATAATTTTAAATTCATATTTTGTTTTGCAATAATATATTAGAATTACAGCACATAATAATTATTAAGGCATTACTTGATTACTCTGTCAGTAACATATTGTTATTGTGTTATAGCTGTAATATATCGTTGCCATGTCATAGAAGTAATAATCAATTATTATTTAACGGTATTAACTTATAGTTATTATATAATAGCAGTAATATATAGTTATTAAGTTATTAAATGCACAGAACTAGAATTTTGTCTAAATTAGGAAAAAAATGGTCGCAGAAGAATGCTAACGAATAGAAAATCTTCAATGCGGCAAAAATAGAGGAACGCGACGGGTCAAATATTCAGAGAGTTAAGCAAAGACAACATAAAGAAAATGTTGGTCGGAGAATAAATCCTTAGTATGGCTGTAGACAGATTCATTATTACAAGGAATGTCCATTTTTTAGAGAAAAAAGAATGTTTTAGTTGTGGCAAAAAGGGCACAAGCATAAAGACTGCAGAAAACCCAAAATTAAAAAGAGGTCAAAGGTAAAAAGACAGATAATTCAACATCAATTGAAAACAAAGGGATAAAAATAAGAAAGTTTTTTAATGTAACAGATGAACAAGAAAAATGTTAAATTTCAATTGGATACCAGTTCAGATCTGACATTGTGAACAAGCTTCGAAAATGTCCCGGAAAGGGATATATTTGAACGGAGTAGCTAAGTGGATTTGGCTACTATAACCAAGTAGAATATGGTAGCAGTAATCGACTGGTACGCGTCGTAGTCACAGGTAAGAAGTGTAGATCAATGGCGTAGAATAGTGGGCGTCGTTATAGACTTAACTCTCAGACTAAGGCTCTCTGAGTCACCTACACGTCCGTCGGTATTTATGACGGAACAAGCCAATCATATTCCAGTGAGGGGGAACACAGGTGTACGCATATTCCATTATATCAGAAAAAAATGGTAAGACCAAATTTATTGATCGTGAAAAGAACTGCTCATAGCCATACAAGAAATAAACTAAATTTTGAAAGAAAATTTTACACATATATGGCATTTATGGGCATAATTATCAAATTAAACGTATTCCTTCTGAAACGAGCACAGAATTTGTTCGGTATGGATTCCATTGTACCATTCGATCTTGTCATCCAACCAATCAATTAATTCATTCTGTTTTAGTGTCAATGTTAATTCAAACAGTGGAAAAATTTAAAAAATGAATTAAGGCTAAAATTTACTCAAATTTTTTAAGGGATTTGGCAGGTGCACCAAAGCTAATGCGACATTCAAACTGAATGATAATGTCATGTTTATATTTAGACCCAAAAGTAAAGTACCCTTTTCAGAGGTTGCTTCCATTACTATGTGGTTGGATCGTTTAGAAAAAAAAACAAAAAACAAATGTTATGTTAAGAAAAACGAACTAAATTTAGTGGTAAATCCCTACCGTTTAATTGAAAAAGAAAAATTAGAATATGCGCACATTTTTCTACAGGATTTAACGATTGTTTGGAAAGATACAATTGCTCTATGTCGAGTCCGGATGACATAAACGCAATAATTGAATGACAGAGTTTTCTTAAATATGGATTCGTTTGATATTCCTTATTCCTGTCGACAAACAATGTGTGAAATATTTAACTATAAATACGTATAAGGGTCTGTATAGATTCAACAGACTGTCATTCAGGATAAAACTCGCACCAGGCATTATCCAACATTTACGGATAAGTTATTAAATGATGTAAACTTCGCAATATCCTAGCTTGACGACATCTTAATTAAGAGTGAGAGCCGAGAACAACATGGTGAACATTTTAAAAAAGTTTTGAAAGAATAAAATTTTACGACTTAAATCTTACAAATAAATGTGAATTTTTTAACTAACAATAAGTATGTGGGACAAGTTGTTGATGCGAAAGACAGAAATCCAGACCCATTGAGATCGAGTGCGATAAAAAATGTGCCGCCCCAACAAATGTGTCGCAATTCTATTTGATTGTGGCAATTTTTTGAAATGACAAGAGGTAATAAAATGTTTGCATGAACTTTTCGCGTGATTCGGGGTTCCAGATACGATAGTGTCGGTGAATGGGACGGAATTCACTGTAAAAAGAGTTAAGATTTTTTTAATTATTTTCAATTTTACTTCTGAATACCACACCATATCACCAACAATCTAATGTCGAAGTAGAAAGATGTGTGGATACTTTCAAGCAAGCATCGAAAAAGTCAGACGAAAACGAATCCGTTGACGAGATACTAAAATTCTTAAGAGTATATTGGGTGACACGGAACCCTAGTGCAAATTCAGGGTTGTCACCGGCAGAATTATTGTTCACGAGGAAAATAAAATCGCTTTTCAACAAACTGTTCCAAAGAAAAATACAAAAGAAGAAATCTCACAATTAAAAATCCTATACAACCGGAGAAAAGATTTCTTTTAAAGAATATAGGTGTAGTAAAGAGTTCTGGAATCTTGGAGTCACAGATAAATACATAGGAAGATTGATGTACAGGGTTAAAGACCCGAAAGAGACGGTTAAGAGACATCACAACCAGATAAGGAAAAGGTACTTGGATGATATGAATAACGAAAATGAAGAGGTTATTTATGACCTATCCGAGGTGCCAATGCCTTTAGTAGCCCGGCACGAGAAACATTTGTGTAAGTGTTGTGGTAGGATCCACCTAATTTGCATAGTGGAGTACCGACCATATAAATATGGTTGGTACCGGGAAGACGAGGAGAGGAATCAAGAGATTCAATCCAGAGACTCTGCCCGACTGCGACTAAGTCAACACAGTCTCCAGGAACGGTCTTCCCAAGAATATACAAAAGACTATATGTAAATATTGTGTACCTTTCTTGTTTCAATACATTTTTTGTTGTATTATTATTCCATGCATTAGTCAAGTTTCAACGGTAAGCGAAAGAGGAAATTTTTAGGGATTATACAAATAAATCGAAAAAGAAGAAGCAGTAAATTCAAAAAAAGGGGTATGTTGTGGAGTACCGGAGCACCCCCACACGCACACACAAATGGACTGATCTAAAAAGATCTAAAAAGTTAAAGAGCGCGCTCTCTTACTGAGAGGGTGAAACTTGATCAGAAATTCTTAACGATCTCTTTGCCTCCGAGGAGAGAGGAACGCAAGTCAGTCTATGCCGAAGAGCAGAGTTTCGACTGGCGAGGTAAACAAACCTGACGCTGTGATTGCGGGGTCTATGAGAAATGTTTGACCGAGTCTACGGGTTTGGAAGATCCCATGTTAATACCCGGCCTTGTACTATATCCCGCCTTGTGGGTGGGGGGAGGCTTCATGTAAATACCGAAGTAAAGTTGACGGTTAATTGCTATTCCAGTAGACTTCGTTCACGACTCTTAGCGACGTATAATTCTTCGGAATAAATTATTAGTGGGTTTTATATTTACATCGGCTTATCCATTTCACGATACACCATATTTAATCCAATTTCTGTAGATATTTAAAACCCGGATGTATTCTGACGTTCAAATACTATCACTCCCATCATCAACAACAAGAAGTCCATCAGTAACACCACATTAATTCCTCATTATTATCACCAGCTTTTCCATCACCACCACCGCTGCTGCTGGCGCCGTCATCACTATCATCATCAGTATAGGCCTACCGAATTGAAGGCACAATGGTTTCTCATTTTCTACAATATTTTTAGTCACTGTTATCACACAGCAGAATGCAGGGTGGAGTTATGGATAGCGGCTCGGATTGGGGTATCACAAAGCCGAGTTCGAATTCCAGTCGAATCCCTTACACTCACTTACGTGCTAATACCCTTGGGATAGGTATAAATCCTCTTCTTCTCCCCTCAGTTATGGGTAAATAGCCGGACAAAACGGATTCTGTTGCCTTGGATGGCAAATGGTCTACTGTAGAAAGAAATGGCAAGCTGCTGCGGGAAAAAAACCTGCCTCGTCAGTCATGTATCGAAAGATACATTTTCGCATAGCATGTATCACGCATCAAACATAACTGGCTTATCGCACAAACTTTTCAATTTTTTTTTTTTTAAGTTGAATGATGTGGTTCCTTTGAAAGTTCTTTTAAGTCATTATTACATGTCCATACTACATTTGTTTTTTCCACTGTCTATTCTTCCATTTAGCATTGCTGACAAGACCATTTCCTCAATATTTACAGTCTGTTTTCCAACTCTATTTTTAATGTCTTACTCCGATGTTAATATCAAGTTCTTCTTTTGATTTGCTTTACATACATCGTTGTCACAATCCAATAATTCCTACTTTTCTTTTTTTCAAAAGTCCTCTATCATTATATGTCGCGACGGTAAAATCTTTACATACAATTGGAAACATGTTCTTCGGGTTCACATTCACACTTTTATTAGCTGTAAACGGACAGGTATCCTAACGAAAAAGAGGTCATTTGGCACTTTCAGATCGGCAGGGATGTCAAAACTACAAACGCGGCATAGCGATATAGATTTTCTAAAACGAATAACATGAATGCAAGAATATTTATTTCACATTTCGTCTATTTTTTAATGCCTATTTTGTAATTCTGTCCAATAATTTCTTTATTTAATGTATATAAACCTGCAAATAATATATATATATATATATATATATATATATATATATATATAGAGAGAGAGAGAGAGAGAGAGAGAGCGAGAGAGGGGAGATACATAGGGAAAAGATAGATAGAGAGAAAAAGATAGATAATGTTAAACTAGGGTACGAGATAATATAAATATTTAAAACAATCTGGAAAAATATACAATTAGGTAAGTTTAAACGACGACCCCGTATCACCAGTAAAACACACACACACACACACAAAACACATATACACACGCACACACACACACACACACATATATATATATATATATATATATATATATATATATATATATATATATATATATATATATATATAG